CTTCTTGGTTGTTACTAAATCGACCTTTTTATTTGTGCAATAAAACTTTCTCTCCGTCTAATGATTTCACTTATATATTATAACATTATTTTTTTGAGCTGCATCTATTGAATTGGAAAAAAAATCCTCATCTTGGTATTCAACTTATTTTTCTTAGCATATTTAATATGGATCCTACTGCATAGGATTCTCCATAGAGATGATACTACATTGCCATTTAGAGTGCAGAAAAAGGAAAACAACTAGTTGAAGGGGCTTCTATGATCACTCCTTTTTTTGGATAATTAACATTTTCTTGATTATGTTTTTCCCATTAAATGTTAATTTTGTTTAATTTATGGGCAAATGTGATATTTGAAGGCAAAAATCTCAAACTGGTGGATTCTCCTGTGTCTGGTGGTGTCAAAAAAGCTTCCATGGGAGAACTTACAGTATGGAAATAGGACCTGAATTTTAATAGGAGAATATTATATATTGTTTTAGAAAATAACGAACTGTACTGAAATCACATATTTTTATCAGATAATGGCTTCAGGCACAGAGGATGCACTAAAGTCTGCTGGCTCAGTTCTATCAGGTGATGCACATCTAATTTCTTTCATGGTGTGCAGGAGTTCTGAAGGAAACTACTTTGTGACTAATTTTGCATATTGTACTGTCACTGTGAACAGCATTAAGTGAGAAGCTCTATGTTATTAAAGGAGGCTGTGGAGCTGGAAGGTACGTCTGAGTGAATTATGTTTGTTATCATGCATTATGTTTGTTCTTTGTAGGACCCATGGGTCTATTGATATAAATCATAATATACTAATACAAATAATTCATTTTCATGAAACGTTTTATTGTTAAAACATATTTTCAAATTTGTATTCTTTTTATGCTTTATAGTGGTGTAAAAATGGTTAATCAATTGCTTGCTGGAGTTCACATAGCATCGGCAGCTGAGGCAATGGCATTTGGAGCTCGATTGGGTCTTAATACTAGGACTTTGTTTGATTTTATTACTAACAGTGGAGGAACATCCTGGTACGTGTGTTATGATCAATCACTTCTAGTTTATAAAAATTGTTATCTGAATTAATTTCGTCTTCCTATTTGTTGTTATCTTTTCATGGGCATCTTGGTTCTTTGATATGCAGTGCACACTGAGGGCCTTGGCCTAGATATGTTAGAAAGGTGAATGCCAGGTTAACACAGGAAATACTTTTCATAATTTTAATGTCAATAACAAATACTGCAATAGGCAGTACTATGTTAATAAAATGTTAACATTGAAACAGAAGAGGTCAGGAGGGAACTGGAGAAAAGGGAAAGATGAGGGGAAAAAGAGAGGTAAAAGATGAAGGAAAAGAAAGGGTAGAAGAATGGTTTAGAAACCAGAATTTTGGAGATTAATTCTTCAAATTCTACTTCAATACAAAATGAGTTACAACGTATCAACTTTCAAGAGACTGGGAGGGAAAGAGAGAAAAAAGAAAGGAGATGGAAAAGGGAGAGGGAGAAAGGAAGATAAAAGGATAAAAGAATGATTTAGAATCCAGAATTCAAGATATAACTTCTTCAAATTCTATTTCAACAACATTATAAGTTGCATTTGTATCAAATGTCTTGTAAAATTGGGTGGCAAAAAGAACCAATAGCAATCTTGCCAACTAATTAGACCAATAAAGAGTTGCCATCACTCTAGACCAAGGAGAAAAAGAGACAAGTACGCCACAAGGATTTTGCCACCACCTTTGGACCAATAAGAGGTGACTCAAGTTGGTAGCTTGCCACTGCCATTTGACCAATCAACAATGTAACACAACAGAAACCAATAGAAAATTGAGTGCTATACCATTATACCAGATGCCATCTTGTCCTAAGAAAATAAAACCAAAAGATACGATCAAATTCCTTAATCTTACTGATATTTCGTACACAGCTTATGTAGTATGAAAACATATAAAAATATTACAGTTTTATAAACTGTTGGAAAGTTGTATTACGTGTAATTAGGATAAATGGTAAAATTAGTAAAATACCTTTGTTTAATTAATTGTAGATTTCCTTTTCTTCTATTCCAGAATATGTATATATATGACCTCATTATTCAATAATAAACATATAATGCTATTTTTCTACATAGTATCAGAGATATAGGAAAAATATTCCGATTTTTTCCACAAACCCTAAACTGGTTGTCATTGCCAAAAAAAAAAAAAAAAAAAAGAAAACAAGAACCTTAAAGCTATATCCGACATCAATTCCGAAGGGAAGAAATTACTTCCCACATAAAATCTAGGGACAAGCCAATTTCACCAATCAACAAGTGGACAAAAGGGCTCCATAATACAGAGAGTTTAAAGAGAAAATTGAAAGATGGAGAACTCACCTCGAATCTCTAGAAAATCCTACAAGTACCGGTCTATTAGTACTTTGCGTTAAGTTCCCTATTTCACATGGTTTGTATGTCTCAAATAGACCCTTTATACATTTATGGATTATAGATTTGTGAGTCACTAATCATATAAAAAAATATCTCTACTAATTTAGTACAAATAGCAATTGCAAACAGTTTATTAGCCACTATAGCAGGAGTTTGTAATAAAAAGATTAGTCCCAACTATTGATTTTGGAGAAAAAATATAAAGTTTATTTTGTTATACTTGGGGTATTTATAGAATTTTTAACATACAGATAGAGAAATTACTATTCTAATAAATTCTAATTACGTAAGATTACTATTTTAATAGAATTCTATTAATATCATCTCAATTAATTGAATAATAAAATATTATAGTCAACATCCTCTCTCAAGTTGGTGTAAATATATCACGTATACCCAACTTACAAAGCGAAATCGATGGTCAAGTTTGAATGGAAGTGTAAGGAATCTAATTAAAGGAAAGATAATAAATTCATGGTCTCTCTATTGTTAAGGTTCCATATGGCCACTTGCTACATAATAATCAAAACAATAGGGGAGTGAGGGGTGGTGAAAACATATAAAGGGAAGGAAAACAATTGGAAAGAGTAGACTCACCTAGCCAATAGTTCTTTCAAAAAAAAAAAAGAAGAGAACATGAATTATATTAGGCACTCAAAATAAGCAAAGGATTTAAAGAATCAAATACCTAAGAAATGAATTTGCAGAAGCTTCTGTGAATCTCCTTAGTCTGAGTTTTGGCATCATGGTTTCTTCTATAGAAAATCATACTTGCTCTTGATCACTCTATCCTTTACAAAGAAAGATTCCTTAAAAAAAAGAATGTCCCAACCATTTAACAACAAGAGTGGGATTTTTTTGGCAGTAAGCTGCCAAGCCTAAAACCCAACCCCTCCCGATGCAATCCACCTCCTAGATTATCAAATTCTCTTTCGCAGTACCACCTAATCTAGATCATGCTAAATCACTATTTTCCTCACAATTCCTGATAAGAATTGGGATTGTGTTATTTTTTGTCTGAGATAATAATGATCTTCATACTGAAATTGATACCTTATTTCGTCCCCAATTCCGAAAATAAGTATTTGCATAAATTCACCCTTTTAATAAGTGCTTGCATAATTTCATGGCCTGTGTTATAATATTAGATGTTTTACATTGATGTTTGACTTCCTCATAATATCTTTCACCTAAAGAACCATCACTTTTACAAGTTTGTGAGTTCTGTGTAAATTTTATTCCTTTATCAGGATGTTTGAGAATCGTGTTCCACACATGTTGGATAATGATTACACACCATACTCTGCACTCGATATCTTTGTGAAGGATCTGGTCAGATAGATTCTACTCAATGCTATGTTCCACCATTCAAAAACAATTTTAGTTGTTATCCTAATTTATTTTTCACTGCAGGGTATTGTTACTCGTGAATGCTTATCCCATAAACTTCCACTTCATATTTCAACTGTTGCACACCAATTGTTCCTGTCAGGTGTGCAACTTGATCTACTTATGTACAATAGTAATTGTTATTTGCATCTTCCTTATATTCGATTCTGTCACCTGAGGAAACTTATTGCACGGATTTCGTTTATTTTCAACTAAGATTAATTGTTAAAGCTGGACTTCTCAAGAAAAAAAATGAAGAATCTCTTTCTTCCTTGACCATAAATTGTAATCCTACAACACTGCAAGTTAAACTTTAATTGGTTTTTAGACTTCAGAAACTTTTGTTAAAAATATCTTCTGAGGAACATAAATTAAAAACTCTTGGCCAAGCCCTCAAGAAAAGAACATTAAACAACAAAGGAAGAGGATGAAAGAAGGGAATGATGTTAAAATTCATCATAATTATATTTCTTTCTTGATCTAAAATAAAAAAAACAAAGAACATGCCAAATTTGTTATTGTTTTGGGGACAGGTGGTCCTGTTCCATGCTGTGGCATACCCTCATTTTTCTATTTGCTCATGTTTTTAATTGCATTTCAGATCTAGACCTTGTTTGGTAATTAAATTGCACTTATCTCATGATCGGCTCAGCTTATGTTGAGTAAGAGTCTCCATATTTAAGGAACTTGACCTGTGATTCAGGAAGAAAATTGTTTTATCATTTGTCATGTAAATTTGTTGAGGTTGTTCTCTTTTTGAGATACATAATTAATACTCATAAACTTACTATTGAACAGGCTCTGCCGCTGGCTGGGGTAGGCAGGATGATGCTGGTGTGGTTAAGGTATGCACCCTTTATGCCTCTGTTTTTCTTCAAGATAAGAGCAAAATAGCTTATGGATGTTAGAGTAGGGCTCTGACAAGTCTCAATATTGAAAATCCATGCTCCATTTTATCTCAAAAAAAAAAGAAAAAAAAGAAAATCCATGCTCCAAATATGACTACCAAGCATCTTTTCTGTTTGATTTTCTGCTGGAAACCTCGTATCTTATTCTACATCATTTTTTTTTATTTCACATGATAATTATTTAACTAAGTAATTCAACATGGTAATAGAGCAATTTCCATGGAAGAAAATCACTATAACTTTAAAATATCATTTGATATCATGACTTTGAACTTAGTACCATGATAGAATAAGAAAAGGGAAGGTTTACTCTTACCTGCTTTTTGCCTAGGATATGCTATTCGGAAGTGCTGTTTGCGTAAATATCATTAACCCGGCACAAAGGGAGGGGCATCCCATATACGAAACCCTTTATTCTATCCAAACGCAGAGGATGTTATGGTCTAGATTGGCATCTTGTTATAGGTCGTTGAAGAGAAAAGTCTTTGGAAGAGCTTATATTCTTACTGTTTTTTCTTTTCTACCTATGATAAATGAGATTAATAAAGACTCATTAGAGGGAATCCTTGAGTCTCATATGAGCTGTTAATGAATGAAGATGATACCCTCCCAATTCCAGTGGAAATCGGAAATAACTATCTCAGAAAAGTATCCATGTGCCTTGACCCATAAGGTTGCCAGAAAAGTTTTTCTCTCTCATAGCTCATGGAAGGATATATGTCTCTCATGGAAGATTCTTCAGTTCCTTGTGCGATGGTGTCCATAAACTGGAGAAAATGGCCCTTTGTTACAATGATTTTGCTTCATTTCTTAACCCATCACCTTTTATATGGACCCCTAAGAAGCTCTAAAGAGTGACCGAATTGCATCCAAACAAACAAGCTGAACAGTATTGTCCAAATCTTCCAAGCTACCTCATAATGGAAGAATAAATGGGAATAAGACTCCTCCTCTAAAGCACATGACACAAATATCTAGAGATAAAACGTGGCAAGGATGGCAGATTTGTAGCATCTCTATTGAGCCTTCGATGCATGATTGTCTAAGTAAACATCTTTACTTTTGACAGAACAGACGCTTTCCAAAGCACTTGACAATGTTAAACTCAAATGCAGTATGATAGATTCTCAGGAAACCAAGTGAGAATGCCAATGATCCACCAAATCACCCAAAGGAAGGGACATAGGAGAGGTCCAATTGTCTTGCCACCTTCGAAGGGATATTAGGAAGAAACTCTCAATGGGAGTGAGCTTTCCTCCCTCAGAAAGACATCTTCCCTTCTAGCCTGCCAATGTCCTCTCCATCTTCCCAAAAATAGGGTCCCAAATAGAGCTATCTTTGAAAGTTTAGCTCCCAAAGGTAGAACCAGGTATTTCAAAGGCAACTTGCTGCTTTTGCAACCAATAAACCCAGCACATTCCTCCACCAAAACACAATCTCCAAAGACCACCAATTTCGAATTGTCCAAAGTCCAAATTAATGGTAAGGCTAGAGAGATCTTCGCATCACATGAAAATGCACCTTAGATTAAGTAGATACTCCCCCGAAAGCCTGGAGAAAAGAAATAAATCATAAACAAATAGTATATGTTTTCCTCTTTACTCCATCTTCTTGGCCAAAAAGTCGAAATTGTAAATAAGATTTGCCTTTGAAGGGCTCACTTGTCAATCACAAATATATAGGACTTCAAATAAGAGTGGTATACCAGATCTGTTTGCTTAGTTCGCTTCCAATATCTGTTTCTTTTAATAGAAAAAGATGACATTATTAACAGAGAGATAATGAAAGGGAGAATGAGGCATCATCCTACCAGATAAAAGAAAACTAAATGCAAATAAGGAAAAGGGGCAGGCACCAATATAAGTTTGCCTTCCAATTTCTTTAGTTAATTGACAAAAGCATCTCTTGCAAAAAACTATTCGCCTTCACCCACAGAGAGGCAAAGCAAATCATTCTATCCCAAATAAAACATGTTGGTGTCACATGCTGGATAATGATCTAGCATTATATTCTAGCCATGAAACCCAACACCTAACAAAGATGGTCCCTCCATAACAGTGCTCTAAATATCTCTATTTGATATCTTTTCCCAGATAGACTTCCATGTTAAACACCAATGGAAGTTTCTCACCATACGATGCATGCATAAGATTAATCATGTCAAAGCCTTCAAAAGCATTTTGTAATCTGTAGAGTAGCTCCTGATATTTGATCTTGAACTTAGTGAACATGAACATTGAGGTCTATTTGACTCATGCTTTTCTGGGTGAAATTTGATAATCATGCTTTTTTTCTGGTGAAATTTAATAATCTTGCTTGCCTGTTTTGCTTGGACTGTTGGAAAATACTTATACTCTAACTTTGTTTGTATCACTGTCCTCTCTAATAATAGTTCTTTTTTTATGAAAAAAGTAACTATCAAAGGAACTAGTCTTTTAATAAACAAAAGAACTCCACATTTTCTTTTTTTTCAAAAATAATCACCAATTAATATGGGGTACATAAAGAATTCTCCTTTTGGGAGAAATACTATATGAATTCTCCAATTCAATTCAGTATAAGTAAATAATTTTGTTTGGAATTTGGTTTTGGTTTAATGGTAAGCTTTTGAAATTCTAGGTCTATGAAACACTTACTGGTGTTAAAGTTGAAGGAAAGCTTCCAACTCTTAAGAAAGAACTTGTTTTGCAATCTCTTCCACTGAGTGGCCAGCGGATCCTATTGCTGACATACATAGACTTAATCAAAGCAACTCAAAGACATTGGTTGTTCTTGATGATGACCCAACTGGAACCCAGACAGTTTATGACATAGAAGTATTGACAGAATGGTGAGCCTTTATTTGCTTACTTGCTGAATTGGCAACATAAATATGAAAATATGTTATTGGTTGAACTTAGATGCATCCAATCGTCTATGAACGGTATTTCTAAAGCTAATGTGGTTTTGTCATCTAAGATTATAGTTTTCCATGCCATCCTACAATCAAATATTTTAATAAATATTTTTTCACAAGTTCTTATTTTTCACCATTCATGCTTTGCAGGAGCGTTGAGTCCCTAGTTGAGCAGTTCAGAAAAAGACCTATGTGCTTCTTCATTTTGACTAACTCCAGATCTCTCAATTCTGAGAAGGTAAAGAGCTTTCTTCAATTGTGAATTTGACTCAAATCCCTAAAAATGAGTGGTAATTAATTTTATTAATTTTTCATTAACTCGGTGGTAGCAAATGTTTATGTACTGTTTTCTTATGATATTTGGACAGGCGAGTACATTGATCAAGAATATTTGCAGTAACCTCCAGACTGCAGCTACATTAGTTGAGAATATTAACTACTCTGTGGTTTTGAGAGGTGATTCAACGTTACGTGGTCATTTTCCAGAGGCAAGGATGCATGGTCTTAAGTAGTTGCATAAAGCTCTTTTATTGCTATTGTGATTTATGCTTCTAATTACATCATGACTAGAAGCTATCTGAACTTTGTAGGAAGCCGATGCGGCTGTTTCAGTTCTAGGAGAGCTGGATGCCTGGATCATTTGTCCCTTTTTCCTTCAAGGAGGCCGCTACACCATTGATGACATTCACTATGTTGCAGATTCTGAATGGTACTAGCTTCTTCTTTTCGGTTCACTTCATGCTTCTTGGTTTCCTTTTTTGACCTGTGAAAACACACTTCTTTTTTAAGAGAGAAAAAAGGAACAGCTCGGTAGTTAACACCATTTATGCGGTCTATAGGCTTGTTCCTGCTGGAGAGACTGAGTTTGCTAAAGATGCTGCCTTTGGCTATAAATCCTCAAACCTACGCAAGGTCTAAAATTTCCATCTGAACTGCATCTGGTTTCCCTGATTCTTTTTTTTTTCCTGATTTTGGTGTGCAACCCTATTTAATTTTAGTGGGTAGAAGAGAAGACAGCAGGTCGTATCCCTGCCAGTAATGTTACATCAATTTCTCTCCAACTCTTGAGGAAAGGTGGACCTAATGCTGTTTGCGAGCATCTTTGTAGCGTGGTGAAGGTAGTATTTGCATGTGTTGATGCATGCTTAGTGCACATATGTTTCAACTTACTGTTTCACATTACATCATGACTTACTTGCAGCCGGGATTTGTTTGAATGATTCTTATGATGTGTCATTATTTCCTATAAAGCCTGGTTCAGCATTTGTAACAAAATCTCACAAAAATTTGGAAAGGCTTGAACTATTTCTCTTCAATTTCCATAGTTTGAAGGAATAATACCTTATTTCGTTTTCTTTTCCCTTCTTTCTTGATAAGAATTTTGGAACGATGGAATGTTTTCTTAAATTTGAGTTGCTTTAAAAAGAAAATGATGTAAATGAGATATATTCAAACTGTCAATCATTTTTTTCAATAGAATTAATGAAGTTCAAGTATTTATATTACGAGCTATTAGAAATATTACACAAAAACAGATGTTCTTGAAAATGCTAAAAGATCACTATATAGGTTAGTTAAGGAAAGAAATTTGGTTAGACATAGTGTTTCACTATTCTTCTTATTGATTGGCTGAAGCAGGGGTCCACATGTATAGTTAATGCAGCTAGTGAAAGAGACATAGCTGTGTTTGCAGTTGGGATGATCCAGGCAAGTTGTTATGCCATTCTTAACAGTTCCTTTGTACCCTTTGGCATCTTTTGCTGCGAATGCCTGAAAGGCTTTTATATATCAATTAACTATAACTAACAGGCAGAATTAAAGGGAAAATCTTTCTTGTGCCGCACTGCTGCTAGTTTTGTCTCTGCACGGATAGGGATTGTTCCTAAAGCTCCAATTTTACCAAAAGATTTAGGACTTAGCAAAGAAAGGAAGGGTGGATTGATAATTGTGGGATCATATGTTCCTAAGACAACAAAACAGGTTGAATTGGTTCATTCCAATTTTCAGTTCTTTCTGTATTTTCAATGTATTTTCAAGATTTTTATCTTGTTCACTTGTTTTCTTTCCCAATCTAGGTTGAAGAGCTCAGGTCACAATGTGGACAAGTTTTACGAGTTATTGAGGTAACCTAAAAGATTATAGTACCTGTGTATAATGGTGCTTTTGTTTTTTCTCACTAAAGAATCTGAGAGATTTTGAAATGAGATGCAAAATCCTTTCTTGTTGGCTTAGGAATCTAAATTTTATTTTTCTGTTATCAATAGGTTTCTGTTGATGAAGTTGCCATGAAGTCATCAGAGAAGAGGGAGGAGGAAATCAAAAGAGCAGCTGAAATGGCAGATATTTTCCTTCATGCTTCTAAAGACACTCTAATAATGAGTAGTCGGGAGCTCATCACTGGAAAAAGTTGTTATTTATCTTTTATTTATCTTTCTTATGCAAATTATGATATCTATTTGTGATTCATATAACTACCTTAAGCATATAACTTTTATTTCTAGGAGAATTCCCTAGCAGGCTGTTCAGCTATGCTTGGATTATGAAACAACACTAACAGGCTTTAGAAGCAATATTGGCAGTAATAACTGCTGATTGTTTTTCTGAATAAGCATACCAAAGCTAATTAATTTTAATTCATATGTGACTGCTTCTTCTGCAAATAGTTAACTGTAACCAACTGTGTCTCTTTCTTTTTCCTCGTTTTTTAAAATAAAAGTGTAAAATATAAATATTAACAAAGATACCAAGGATGTACTACTCATGTACAAAAGAATTACAAGCCAGTTAGAAGATCAGTGACATTCCTAAAATCTTCTATCCTGCAAATGTTATGACCCAAAAGTTTTTCCTCATTGTATTCTTTGTTATGACTTTTTCACTCTCTTTTGTGGTGATGCTTTTTTGGTCCTTTTGACAGCTCCTTCTGAGAGTCTGGAAATCAATTTTAAAGTGAGCTCTGCATTGGTGGAAGTAGTCAGGAGGATAACTACAAGACCACGTTACATTCTTGCAAAGGTATTTTACTCAGTTCAAATGGTCATCTGTTCCTTGGTAAAAATTGAACTAGTGGCTTAAATTCATCTTCTTCCTCTTCTTTCCCTTTGCAAACATAAGTTTACTGTAGATTCTTTTATTCTGTATAGACGAACTTATATATACACTCCAGATCCTTTCTAGTTAAGGATGTTTTAAATCCTGCAGTATATTTTCATTAATTCAGCTGGACTAAGGTATGGCGAAGGAGAGCTCAATATTAGCTTTCTTTTTCCCTCTAATTTTGATGCCTGTTTGTTACCCTTTTGACCCTATTGTAGTCCCTTTTTTAGGATATTGTTATGGAATTTTGTTAGTTGTATGGGCTTGTTAAGGGAAAATCTAAACAATCACCTAGAGTTTAAAGTGCTCAAGAAGCTTTTTTTTAACAAAATTTTATGTGTACTTTATTTATATTACAATTCTGTTTTCATACAAGAAAAATATTTAACTTCCTTAGTTGGAATAAATAAAGTATTACTTCTAATAAATAACTTCCTTAGTTGGAAGTAACTACCACCACCCAAAAACCACCTATAACTTCCACCATATCCTAGAAACTAAGAAACTAACAGCACACTTTATCCTACTTATCCTAGAACTACATTTACACTTATCCCTGTAACTACTTCTATTATTAGATAAAACTAAATAACTAGATGATAAAACAAAAATAATTTTGTTCTAGCAGCCATGTCATTTCTAGGAGCCATGTGGCTCACAACAAATCTGCTCTATTTATCACTGCCAATCTCTCCATAATGGTTAGATCTCAGACAACTGTTGTCAGTCTCCTTACAATCATCTACGATGGCTTTATCATATTACAAATCATTTTCCATCACGAATCAACATCAGCATCACAATTACAGTGGATAAGTGCATAGCTAAAAAGTTCAATTTTTACTGATAAAGAAGTACGCTATTTATGAGGCATTAAAGGGGTAGCACCCACATGTGAAAGTTGCACTTCAATGATCATGATTTGATGTATGTGACTGGACATAAAAATATATTATGTGATGTACGTGAACAAATTTCAGTTTGTGTAGCATTTATAGGGTTCAGAATATGCAGAGGTAAAGAAGAAGAAGATTTATTGGGTTCGACTGGTTTCTTTTCAAGCTGAGAAAATGAATTTGTATCCATGCTTGTTTAAAACACATGATTCTGTTTACTGTAACAGTTATTTTTAAGTGTTTGGCAGCTGTGGCAGGAAGATTGAGACTTGTTTCTTATTCTAAGAATTTCTTACTTTTTTTTGCAGTTTCTTTTCTTCTCCTTAGAGGAGGGCTTTTGATGACTATTTCCTGGTCATACATATTGGCCCCTGGGCATATTTTCTTTAAAATTTTGCAAAATCCCTTAGTCAAAATAGAAAAACTCACATTCATTGTATTTAGGGCTCATGTAGGATTCTATTTTCTCAAGTTGGATATTAACATAAAAAAACTGTGTTTAACTGCCATGATGTGAAAAGAACAATAATATTTGCTACAAATACTTGATTCTTTTAGGGTGGAATCACATCATCAGATATTGCCACGAAGGCACTGGAAGCAAAAAGTGCCAAAGTAGTCGGACAAGCCCTTCCAGGTGTTCCCCTGTGGCAGCTAGGTCCTGAAAGTAGGCATCCTGGAGTTCCTTACATTGTTTTCCCTGGTAAATCTGAGTTCTATTTGTTTATTTTACAATTTCTTTTGTGTGGCCATTTGAATTTATTGAATGCCTAGAGATGCAGATAGCTGGTAATCTATATAATTCTCCTTTACAGGTAATGTTGGTGACAGTAAAGCACTGGCAGAAGTTGCCAGATCCTGGGCTTGCCCTGCCAGACTTTTATCGACAAAAGAGCTCCTCCTTGTAAGCATCATCTCTTCAGTTTTTACTTTGACTAATTTCTTCCAGTAGAGATTGACATTATTACTCTGTATAAAGAATGCTAAAAATGGTGGATATGCCATTGGAGCATTCAATGTTTACAATATGGAAGGAGTAGAGGCAGTTGTTGCTGCTGCAGAGGAAGAAAATAGTCCTGCCATTTTACAGGTCAGTTCAATAGCAAGTTAAATATAAAATTTATCCATGTTCTAAATTCAGTATTTAGTTTAGTAGTATACATAATCCAGCAACAAAATATATATTGGGCTTGTGCACAAGTCTGGTTCCTTATGGAATTTTTTCTGACACTACTAAAATAAGTTAATAAAGGAAAATAATCTAATATGAACTGTTAGAAGGAGCCAAAAGAAGGTATCTGGTATTGACAAGCAAAGGAAACCTCTGTTTGAATTTGACTACAACCCAAACTCTGAAAAGATATCCCACCTACTTTAGTTGTCATTTAGCTAAATATCTAAAATTTCAAAGCTGGGCTGTCCAACTGAGTACTGATGATAGTTGGGAATTTATGAAACACTATCTAGTTTTAGTTTTTGTTGGCCAAACAGAACCAACCAAACTCAAGAATTCAATATAAACTGCATACCCTTTGTGATAGACATGGTTCTGATTGCAAAATTAGCTAATCCCAGGCAAATTGGCCCTTCAAGCAACCAAACAAATTAATCCTCCTACTTTTGGGCCTATTTGTTTATATGCATAGCACCTAATGGATCTCGGTATTTTTGTTCTTATATTTCCTTTTCCTATGACAGTGAATCTCAAGCACTATCCTTAAAAGTAGCTTCCCCAAACAATGATTATGTTTCTGGTTCAGAAGGTTGATTCATTTAATTTATAAGATATAAAGTGCCATATCTAATCTCTTCTTTTTTCAGATTCATCCTGGTGCCTTAAAGCAAGGAGGCATTCCATTGGTTGCATGTTGTGTTTCTGCTGCCGAGCAGGCCAGGGTAAGTGGTAGTTCATATTTATGTGAAATATTAGAGAGCATAAGGATAGAGAAGAACAAAAAGAAAAAAGAATACCAGAAGTTTTGATCTCTAAGTGAAAGCCGTGTTGAGGTTTGACGGGTTGGTCTCTATTGGTTGATATAAATAAGATACTGTAGCCTGTTGGCAAACTGACAAGCTGTTGTGATTGTTTGAGAAATAACAAAGCTAGAATAGGGAAAGAAAATAAAAATATGTTACACTGGACATCAAGTACATAAATTGGATACAGTTCCTGTTTGTAACTATATAGAGTTCGTTAGATGATTATTTAAATGTATTTTACTGATGTAGTTACTATAGTTCTGCATCTTACGTTTAGGCATGAGAAGTAAAATTAGACAATTATATGGCAGGTTCCCATCACTGTTCACTTTGATCATGGAACTTCAAGGCAGGAGCTGATGGAGGCTCTTGAGTTGGTGAGTTGGCTTATCATGTTGTGTGTTCAAAGTATTACTATCATTATTCAGTTATTTTCTTTATTTAATTTACATGTGATTTCATGTTGGATCTGACTGTTTCAGGGATTTGATTCAGTAATGGTGGATGGTTCGAATCTCCCTTTCAAGGATAACATCTCATATACAAAGGGCATATCATTATTGGCCCATTCAAAAGGTATGCTAGTTGAGGCTGAACTAGGGAGATTGTCAGGAACAGAGGATGACTTGACTGTTGAAGATTTGAAGCAAAGCTGACTGATGTTAACCAGGTTTCATGCTTCAATTTGTTAAAGAGCTTTGCTCCTATATCTTATATTTCCAATGTTTCACCACTGGCCTCGTGAACTTTCAGGCACAAGAATTTATTGGTGAGACTGGTATTGATGCTTTGGCTGTGTGTATTGGAAATGTCCATGGAAAATATCCTGCAACAGGACCAAATCTCAGACTCGATTTGCTTAAGGTCAACTGCACAACATATTTCCTTATTTACACTGGAGACAATATGTTACTACTTTCATGTTACAAGGTTTTGGTTTGAACTGAACATCCGTTTAAAAATCGATTTATTAATATTTCAAGACAACTGAGCAGAGGAGATACTTCTAAGTTAAAGAAAGTTAAGTTATTGACATTCACGTATCATATCAATAGCACATGTCAGACAAAGGAAAGATAAGTTATTGACATTGGCAGTGTTTACATGTCCCTTTGAAACTTATGTTGAAAGTTTATCATTCTTCATGCAGTGCTTGCTATTCATCTGTAGATTCTAACTCTCCTCCATGTTTAGGATTTGCATGATTTGAGTTCAAAGAATGGTGTTTTTCTGGTGCTTCATGGAGCCTCTGGTTTGCCTCCGGAACTTATCCAGGTATGTTCACAGATCTTGAAGTTATTTTATGCATTTATACATCAAATTGCACTAAATAAAAGCTTGAACCAAACTTTACTGCTTTGGATAGGGATGTATAGAGCAAGGTGTGAGGAAGTTCAATGTCAATACTGAGGTGCGGAAGGCTTACATGGATGCACTGAGTAGCCCCAAGACTGACCTGGTTCATGTTATGGCAGCTGCAAAAGATGCTATGAAAGCTGTGGTTGCGGAGAAGATGCATCTGTTTGGCTCAGCAGGAAAAGCATGATAACTTATGCCAAACTGAAAAGAGAAAAAAAAATCTTTACATGATATAAGCTTTTCTTTTTGTTACGAGAAATATTGAGAATAAAATATAGAGAAAAAAAAATCTTTACATAATAAATTTTTTTTTTCTGTTGTGAGAAGTATCGAGAATAAAAGAAAATGAAAAAGAACTCTATTAGGATTTTTCAAATCTCTGTAACACTCGTGTGTTTTGTTCCTTCTTTTTTCAATTCTCCAATGTTCTTCTTCCGATCTTTGTAGATTTTTTTTCCCCCTTTATCAACCGGATGCAAGATCTGTTAAAGAACACTCATTTTCTCACCCACAAAACTTCAATTGCGGCCTTGCCTCTCTTGTTTTCTTTCTCTTTAAAAACTAACTTTTGTCTTTGCTTCTCTTGTTTGCATGATTTGTGATCTTGCGTTGGATATAAGTCTTCTCAAGGTTAGACTACCTTTTATAAGTTATTTATAATTGAACTTTTTATAAACTGTTTACAATAAAAAATCAAATAAAACATTTTTACTAGATAAAAAAAGTCATTCAATATAAAAAAAAAAATAAAATATAATATAAAAATTATATCATCTAAAAATCACTCAAATTCTACCCTCAAAAAAATATTCAAGATTCTCTTAAAGAACTAATTCTCTGATATCTTTTGTAATTAAATTATCAATTGTAATCAAATTATGTGCCAAGCAATCTCTAACCTATTGGGTCACGTTTGTAAGTTTTTTTGTATTAGTGAACATAATATTTTTTTAATAATTTAATTTTATAATAAAGATATATTTTGTATTGAGTGTCTTTAAAAATCAAAAATCCAATTTAGTATCATAGAAATAGTTTAATTTAATTAATTCTATATTTTTAGTTATTAACTAATAAAATTAAAAGCTAAATCAAATTAAACCACAGCAATTCGGTATATGTGTGATCATAAACTCTAAGTTAATTGTACGATCCAAATGATACAAAATTTTAAATTTTAAATAAATAAATAAAATTTTAAATAAATAAATGAAAACGACACTAAAACTAAACTTTGAAGCCAATTGAGAGAGCATGAAGATTAACGGCTTTTTAAATCGTGCGTGAAAAGTTGAAATTGAATTTTATTAAAACTCTACTTTTTAAGGAGAATAAAATAAATAAAAGAGCGAACAAATCTTTATAAAATAAAATAATATTTTCCAAAAATGCGATTTATCCAAAATTCCCGGATAAGTACAAAAGCGTGATGACGTCAGTGCGACAGAACAGCATAGATGGTCGGGCTCGGGCTCTGAATTTAATACTAAAATCGGTTTCGCTTCTCGATAAAACTCCACAAGACTCTTTCCTGTCTAGATCTCTAGATACGATACATCCAACAATGGCAGATCAGACGCAGAAACCTGAACTCTATGAACTCAATAATGGCACCATGCAGGTCAAGATCACCAACTTCGGTGCGACCATTACCTCCCTTTCAGTACCTGACAAGAATGGTCTGTTCTTCTTTGATCGATCATGTGATGATCGCAGTATTTTCTTTTCTTCTTTTGTCAAATTTCAAATTCTGTTAGCTTAAGTTGTGGCCATGTTGTTGTTGGTTTGTGAAGGGAAATTGGCTGATGTTGTTCTTGGATTCGATTCCGTCGAGCCATACACGGTAAGTTCTGTAAATTTTCTCGATAAAAGTTTGCTTTTTATTCACTATTTGTGGCCTGGTTCAAGAGCGTGTAATGGTTTTTTCATGGATTGAATTCTTGTTAAAGAAATAAAATAAGCCCGTTTTATTTGTTTAGATAAATCTGGGTTTTTTGTCCGAGGATTTTAATTCTCATAATTTTGCTTGCGAATTGATCAATATGAATTCCCTGCATGTACTGGCAATTGACACGCCGTTGTATTCCGCCTCCATTGTTAAGAAGGGTTTATTTTGGGAGGTCAAGTTTTTTTGTATTCTCCCTTTTCTGCCAAATATTGAAACTCTTTTCCTTGTTATCGATGCATATGTAATCAGAAAGGTGCTGCACCATATTTTGGCTGCATCGTGGGTCGAGTTGCAAACAGAATCAAAGAGGGAAAGTTCACTCTCAATGGTGTTGAGTATAGTTTGCCCCTCAACAGACCCCCACACAGTCTCCATGGTATGTCATTGAAAATTCTTGAGCCTAAATAGATCATTTATAATTTCTCAGAGATTTCATGATTTTATATATTAGACTCTTTAGTATCTTCTTTTACCTTAGTAGACTGTTAAACTGAAGTGGTTTTTCACTCTCGTTATTTTGGTTTATGACCTTGATTTTCATGTGGGATTTTTCTGCTCAAGTTGTTACTTCCTTCTTATTTTCTTAACTGTACTTTTGAGCATCAATCATGCAAAGGCCTGTAGATTTAAAATAGTCAGGAGTAATAAATATTTTAAAGTGGGACAAAAATATCCTGTTGAAAACATTCAGATTTGAGAATCTCGTTTTAGATAATTTGCTCCCATCAGACATCATGCTGCTTTCCAGGTGACAGAGTGCAGTCAGGTTTTAGAGCATTTACATTTTTCCAGAAATCTCCTAAATGGTTTAGTTTTGTTATGAAGGCTGCTGGTAATAAAAAATAAAAAGAAAAGAAAAACAAGCCCCCATAATTTTTTTTCTTTGAGACATTGGTTTTGCCTGACAGCAGGTCAAGCTGTGGAGCCTGAATTTAGAGAACCCGACTTCATACCCCTTTTAGTTTGTTTATGACCAGTAGGAACATTACCATGCGCAACGAGTTTTGCATTTCATTAATACTCTAGCGATCAATATATCTATCATGGTTGTTGGAGTCGGTTGTACTGAATAAATTTACCACTTTGTCAATCAGATCACACTTGAATACATGAACGACTCTTTGTTAAGAATTCAAGGAAGGATTTCTTCTATTCAACTTTAGTTCCATCTAACTTTTGGATAATTTCTTTGCGTTAGGTGGTCAAAAGGGTTTTGATAAGGTGATATGGGAGGTTGTGAACTACAAGAAAGATAAAAACCCTTCCATTACATTCAAATACTACAGTCATGATGGGGAAGAAGGTACTCTTTCTTTCTCTGTTGTATCAAGTAATTATTTGATGTTCTAAGAGTACAGATGAGTTAGCAGACCCTCTAAATGTGATTGGTTTGTTACAATTTTCTGTTAAAAAAAAAGTTTACTTTAAAGTGCACCAATCATATTTATGAGTTAGCAGACCCTCTAATAATTGTTTCTCTTTTTCTCCCTCTCTTTCCTTCTCCCTAGCAGGCTCTTATTTTTCCTCTTCTGTTTCCATTTCTTCCATCAATAGGTTACCCAGGGGCTGTTACTGTAACGGCAACTTACACACTCACTTCAAGCACCACAATGAGACTTGACATGGAAGCAGTGCCTGAGAACAAGCCGACTCCAATCAGCTTAGCTCAGCACACGTACTGGAACTTGGCTGGCCATAACTCGGGGAACATACTTGACCATTCAATACAGATATGGGGATCAAAAATTACTCCTGTTGATCAGACTACACTCCCTACCGGCGAGATCATGCCAGTTAAGGGTACTCCATACGATTTCACAGCCGAGAAGAGGATTGGTGCATCAATTCATGAGGTAGGAATGGGGTATGATAACAACTATGTGCTGGATTGTGGGGAAGAGAAATCAGGGCTGAAGCATGCTGCAAGAGCTAAAGACCCATCAAGCTCAAGAGTTCTTAACCTGTGGACAGATGCCCCAGGGATGCAGTTTTACACTGCTAACTATGTTGATGGAATTGTTGGAAAAGGAGGTGCTGTTTACGGAAAACATGCAGGACTATGCTTGGAGTCACAAGGATTCCCTAATGCTGTCAATGAACCAAACTTTCCATCAATCATTGTTCAACCTGGTGAGAAGTACAAACACACTATGTTGTTTGAGTTTTCAGCGGAGTAAGCGATAGGAGAATTATTTATACAAGAATAAAGGTAGCCTTTGGTTTGCCTCACTGCCAGTGAGTGCCTGGACAATGGGCAATGATCTAATAATTTATACAGGAATCAGTTTTGGTTTAAGTATTTATCATTTTAGGGGTAGGATTTGATTTCAGATGAGACGCTCCGGGCATTTAATATTTGGCGAATGCTATTTTGACATTAAATGCATTTTTGCAGATATCTTCAGCCCCACATAAATAACTTTTTTTTTTTTTTTTTCATGAGGGGCCCTCTGTATTAAACTGTGGAAATTGTCTATGAGATTGAAGATGGTAAATGGTCAAATTAGTTAAAACAACAAGCCAATGCAACATTAGGTAGAATGTTGGGTCGCATTTATACATTCAAAATTCACCAAGAATGAGAATGGATATTACAAATGCTCTCCTGGATCTTCATGTGAAAGGTTATGAGAGAAAGGAAATCCTTGTATATCTGTTTTGATGCTCATGTATATCAATCTTTGATATCACGATGGACAAATAGTCAATACTAATAATTGCCATGCAATTTTTGCCCGTCTCAATTCTAAAAAAGAACCTTGATCCAAAAAAGAAAAAATCTCAACAGAACAGCCTTGATTGTTTTGACCAATCTTCTATTGAAAGAACAATCATCTTGACCTTTTTACTGGGCAAGTTACAACTTTTTATGTTGTTTAGTTCTTGTGATTTTTCTACTGAAAATTTAATTTTCTTCCTTCTTTGCATAAATTTCACTTCTTTTCAACTCTAATTTGTTTCACCTCGATTTCCTTTGTAAATATGTTAAGAAACTCCAATTCAACTATACCAACAAAATTAAACTGAAGAGTATTGAATTATCATTAAAAAAATTATAGAGATTGAACTGCAAGAAAATTAAATCAGGATTATACCTCTGACATACATCCAATGAAATCCCAAGCTTAAATAAAAAATTGAAAAGAAAGGTAAACCATGATAGTAAAGGCTTCTATTCAGCCACCGATCTCCAGATGAGACGCAGAGAGCATGGTAAGATAAGGGGCAGCTTTTCTCAGCTTGTTACAGTCTCCTGTGGTGTCTAGTACAAGTTTTTTTATATTTGGGCTTCTGTTCATTAAACTTTCGTATTAAAGACCAAACAGGAACTTTGTGCTTCCTATTTGATGATTACATTCACATCTTCTAGAACGCTTTTAAAAATACACATGCAGAGCGTTTGATAGCACAAGTATAAAGCCCATTATTAGAAGACCCTTTTTGCTCTCATCAGGATCATATGCAAAAACTTTTAAAAACATCACCTCACCTTGCGCGGATAAGTTCAAGTGGTAGGCTTTCCATTGCCAGCTGAAATTGGTACAGCATTGTTTTAGGCACAGAAAATTTTGTTGTCATGGACTGTGAAGAATAGCTAAAACCATGCTTACCCAGAGTCTTGGCGTTGTTGGATCGGATTTTGTGTGCAATTTGGATAGGTCCGACTGAAAAGTAATGGCTATCAGAACTTTGAACTCAATTGAAAATGGTCTGCACCAAGAAATCAAGAGGGAAAATTCATGTTAACATTAACAAAGTCCAAATGAAACACAGGAGAAAGTGAAAAGAGAACATTAGCCAATATGCAAAACTTTCCAATGGGTAGTAAATAAAAACATACAACAAGATTGGACAAACAGCTACAGCCTACAGGACTTGAATAAATTCTGACCTAATGACCATAATCATATATTCTTAATTAATGACAAAGACCAAGTTTCAATAACCGGCTGGCATAAGAGTGATGCTTAGGAAATATGTTTAGCTTAGAGGTTCAAAGGGATAGCTGTATTAAAAAAAAAAATTTCAGACGTCCATACCAAAACATCTGCCTTAGACTCTTAACATAGCAGGATCAGTTAAAATTAGGATATTTAGTTCTTCCTCGACATAAAGACCATGGGTAGAATTTTCGAGTGAACAAAGCTCCAGTGTAAGGTGATGCTTTTTTTATATAATGCCTTCAAAGTCCTCTCTCGTGGAAACTAGATTCATTACCCTTAAGAATTCTCAGGAACAGAATTAGAAGGCTACTTCAAGATTTCAGGAAATAATGAATTGACACCCCTCCAATAGAAGTCAAAAAAAGGTACCTCACTTGCATTGTATCTTTGATGTCAAACTAGATCAGTTACGGGATAATAATGCGTAAAATTTCTTAAAATTTGCACCCCAACAGTACAGTTGTGCAGAATCATACATGATGGGACACAAAGAAAGGTATGTGTGTAGGTTGGGGGAGAGGCGTCATTGTCTAGATGCAACTCACCCAGCAAAAACAGTTGGAGAAGTCAAAAGGCGAGGAAGTATAACATAGATGGGAAGAGCCATGTTATAACAGATATCTCCATCTGCAATCTGGTAAAGGACAAGGAAAAAAGTGAAGCAGCGGATTAGTGTGTAATGAAAAATACTCTAGGAAGATGTGAAATGTTGCATGCCTGTGTAGTCTGAACCAAAGAGGTTTCTGAGACAATCTTCTCTCCTACAAGAATTGACTCCACACGAAGCAAATGAATGTCAATTGAACGAATGGGAACAGCAGATGATTCCACAGTTAGCTCCCCATTGATTGGGTCCAGCAAAGAACATTGAGTGGACATTTTTCCTGTTACTCGGAAGCCACCTATTCAGTGCAATGTATCCTCAGTTATAGGACAATTATATTAGTATATTCAGCACTGTAACATGTAAGAGAAGGCATAAGTAAAAAAAATTTAAATGCAATCTTGCATGGTTTCAGCAATCCGAAACCACCATAAGTACATTGATTTGTACAAGTTTCTTTAAAAATCTGAAAACACCATTGAGAGTAAAAAATCTTCATTCAAGCTAAAGAAATACTAGGAAGAGAGGATGGAAGATGGCAACACAGGTAAACCTGATTTTAGCTCTGGAAGTAATGGATGTCTCTGAGTATCCTGGGTAATGTAGAAGATTACCATCTCTGGAGAAACTGGTCGTTCAAGTAGATCAGCTGAAACCAAAATAAGAGCGGAAACCAGGCACAATTAATTAAATTGCACATAAAATACACTAAATGGAAAATTAGCATACCTTTATCACTTTCAATTATGAACTCCACTGTTGAAGATAATGATTTGTGTATGTATCCTCTCATTACTTCTACAGTTAAGAAATACTATATCAAAGATTTAAATTAATCATCAAGGATCAGACAAATACCAAAACTCATAAAAAGCTATCAAAAGGACACCAGGACATAAGGGACAATAAGTGATGCAATGATAATCCCCAGAGGCAAGAAAAGCAAAATTTGAGAGTTTGACTTTCTTCACTCGAAAATACCTGGATAGTAATATTTGCTCCATGGAAGGTCTCATAAAATCTTTCTGAGTTATCTTCCTGTGGCTGTCTCAGGACTATAGAAAATGGTATCTGTCAAAATAAAGCAAAATTAGTAGTAAACTAGAAGAAAATAAGCAACTTTAGTTGACAAATCAAATAGAAGATTTAGAGTTAAACGTAAATATGATGTGAAAATTATCAGATTGAAGAATAAGACAAAGCTTAAATAAGGAAAACAACATCCGCATACTTGCACAAGATTTAATCACATAACCAATTCAACGTTATCCAAGAGCAAAACTGCAGAATTGTCATGGTTAAAGCTAATATGACACGAAGACGGAAGACAATTCCCACAGGTGAAGGTAGAAAATATATTAGCAAATTTTAAATGTTAAACATTTCATGAATTTGGCACCATTCTCCAAAATAGAGCTTCAAGGTTTGAAATAATTAGCCTCAAAATATTCTCGGTTGATACTGTACCTCTGTCGTTCCTCGAGCAATCTTCCCAGAAGGTCTAACTTCAATGCTCTTATTCCTGTTTCCAAGATGAGAAAAGGACAAATAGAAGTAATTATACAAAAATTTCAGCAACCAAGCATGAGGAGGAGATATTGAACAACTGAAAATTAATTCTATTACAGATATTTAATGAAGAAAAGCTAAGAGAACTACAAGCAAATCAAATTAAGAACGTTGCTGCTGCGGGGGAAGGAAAAATTGTTCCCCGACAATCAGGAAACTAAGCCATACATATAGCAACCTCAGAAGTACTACAATCTAACCTAATAGATAGTGGAAATGCACATTAACTATTACAAAAATAATGATGTCATACTCTTGTGCAGTAACATTGACCTTTTTATTTTTATAGATTATCGAGCAGGTTTATCTTATTCTCTATTTTTCTAATTCTTTCGATCTCTTCCCTGATAAAGTTTCTTTTGTTATCCCAAAAAAAGAATAGCAAAAACATGAAGAAGGCATCTCATAATCAGCGAGTCTTCATTCTGATCTACATTGATAACAAGGATTATCAACCCAGAAAGTTAAATTGAAGTCAGAACAGATTTTTGAGAGTATATGACCTTTAATAGATTCAGCAGGCCCTACAACACCAAGAAAAAAACCCTAGTGTGCACTAATACCGCTAATACTGTATAACTGGTGCTTGTCCAAGGCTTGTCAAGGCCACTAGCCCAAGCTTGATGTTACTATGACCGCCATAAGTCTCGCGTCTCCTGCCACATAGACAATCTCTTGGCCAGTAGAATGACTTATTCCTATCTCCAAGTTACCATGGGCAGCTCTCCTTGATGCCCCAGATTTGTAACAGTTGTTATAAATATTAGAAAGCCTGACAACTTACCTCCAACTGAAGATAAATCGGAGAATAAAAATCGACCATCAGTTCTCAACTTCTTTAACACTCAAGAAAAATAGTGGCGAATTATGTCCTGATTTATTTCAAGTCACTGCTCCAGAATAAACTAAACTTCAGCCAGAAGAAAATATACATCCTGTGATATTGATTCAGTAATATTCAAACTTTTAACAAAACTAAGAGGTCATGCCCTGGTTGCTATATAGTTTTCGTCAGTAACCTTAATGCACTAGAATTCTCTTGATAATCTTTTCTTTTCAAAACAAAATATTCTTGTGCACATTCTTAATGCTAGAAAACATGTCACAGCACACGTATTTGTTCTTGGACAGCTATTACAGGTCCAAAAACATCAAATATTCAACTCTAGATCAAGGCCAGACTTCTTGCATCCCACCCTGTGACTGCTGTAGGTTTGTTTCTTCAGTAAATAGTGCTCTGAGATTGCAGTTGTATACGCCTATGCTTTTAGATTAGTACACCCGCAGCAATTATTGAGATTTCTGGACCCGTAGAGTTTTTTCTCTTGTATTAAGTCTTCTGTATATGGATGATATTATTAATAATAGTTTTTGTTTTCATATTAAAAATTATAAGTTCTGAGCATATCACAAGTGAACTTTTTGTGATCCCTATCCAGCGGTACAGAAGCCTACCAAACATCACTCACAAGCCATTACAGTCTGTTACCTAGAAGCTCATTAGCGAAACCAATCAGAAAGATGAGGCATCTACTTATGAAGGCCAGTGATTAGGAGACTGATAAAGGTCCACAATACATTTCTATTCAGAAACATGTTCCCTTTCTACATCTCAAAGTTTAGGTTGAACCACCTTCTATTTATTCACCGGTAGCATACAGAAAAGCAGAGCAAAAAGAGCTGAATTGGCAGATAAAACATCGAGGAAACCCCCAGCTACAGTATGGACTTTCTCGAATTATTGAGCAGAACATTATAGTTGATCGCAAATCTTTCATCATATATTAAAACCAAAGAAAGCAATCACGAAGTAACTTACACGATAGGAATGGGCTTAACAACCCCATAGAAGGCCTCGATAACTCCCGCCGATCCTCCGCGAACCTTAAGCAGAGAAAGCATGTAAGCGAAGACAGTCACGATGAAGATATCAAAAGGGAGCGCGGGGGAGTGGCAAAGCTAGACACCGCCTCGTTGCTGTGTATTGCTTTCTTTCATATTATCGAGGAGCAAAGGGAGGAGGTGATTCAAACCTGCAAGTTGACGGATCCGTTGACAGTTATACGAACTCCATAGTGAGAAATCGAAAAAGGAGACTTTACCACAATTTTGCCATCAAGAGGTTCCTGAAATTCCAGCATCATCATCATCATCCTCATCACAAACTCGGGACAAAAAAGTGTATAAATGGAATATATATACATACAGACGGACTATATATACGGTTCGATCGGGAAAGCTTGAGATCTACTATTGACATTGCTACACCAAAAACCAGCAGAAGCTGCTGCAGTACCGAATCGTCGTCTTCCTAATTTTTATTTCAATAAGCTGTTTCCTTCTGCTTGAGCTCGTTATTATATATGATGAAAAAAAAAATCAGATTTGATCTATATTGACCTTAGTAGAAATGTCCGTTCTGACGTGGCAGAAAAAGATTGGCCCAATAGTGGCAATTGACGTGGCGACGGAACTATAAAATGCAATTCCCAAATTACCCCTTCAGACTCCAAGCTTCTATCTTCTTCCATTAAAATTACGAGGGAGATCAGTTCGGGCATTTCACTTTTCCCTCTCTGCTTCTGCACTGTTCTTCTTTTTCATCATCATCTTCTTCGTAGGATTGACAAGATCAGGATTATCATCGAACAAACTTTAGGAATGCGACGGTTAAAGCACAAGCAGTTGGTAATCTTTCTCCTTATTTTATCTCTCTATCCTCTCTCTATCCATGCACGGCCCTTCGTGCTCGTCCTCTCGCAGGATGACCTAAAGGATGCCGCCGCCCCATCCGAGGACGAAGCAGGCGCCAACGCCGTTCCCACCGACTCCGAGTGGGACGAGTTTGGAGAATCTGATACGAAGACTGAGGAGGAGCTCGACCCCGGCTCATGGCGTCCGATCTTGGAACCGGACTCGTCTAGTTCGGAGTCGGAGCACGAGGCGGGATCGTACCTCTCTGGCGTTTCTAGGATGTTGAATGCGGCAAGTAATGGCGAGGTTAGGATGATGGTGGAGGCCGCATCGGAGATCGAAGCTGTGGCTACGTCGGGAGACCCGCACTCGCAGTCTGTGATGGGGCTTCTGTATGGGTCGGGGCTGATGCGGGAGAGGGACAAAGCGAAGGCGTTTTTGTACCATTACTTTGCTGCTGAGGGAGGGAATATGCAGTCCAAGATGGCTCTTGCATATACGTACTCGCGGCAAGACGTAAGTTTCTTTCTTACTGGTCTTTAAATCTGATCATTACTGGAATTCCATGGAAAGTGTATGTTGTACTTTCTAAAACCAAGTGACCTTTATGCTTAATCAATTGTTACCTGTGCTACTTAGCTTGGTTTGATTATTCTGTTTTTGTCATTTTAAGTATCAAAGCTATTTCAATTAAACAAATTTTAGTGTTTTTCCCTCCGGATAAACATTTATTAGTTAACATGTCAACTGTTTGATAATATTTTCGGTCATATATTGATCGTCTATTGAAATTATTTTTGTTTTTAGTAATATATGTTGTAAAATAAGATCTTGGAACCATGGATCTTGACTATGTTGAAGTTTAATGTCTTCAGAAAGAGTTGTAAGAAACCCTATCTTTGGATACGACTAACAGAACTTTTGAATCTCCAATATGTTTGTCTTAGAACTACATTAACATTCAACCGTTTCATTTTTGGTTCCAGATGCATGATAAAGCTGTTAAATTATATGCTGAGTTAGCTGAAGTAGCTGTAAATAGTTTTCTGATTTCGAAGGATTCACCTGTTATTGAACCGGTGAGGATCCACAGTGGAGCTGAAGAGAATAAAGAAGCATTGAGGAAATCCCGTGGGGAAGAGGATGAGGACTTCCAAATATTAGAATATCAGGCACTGAGAGGAAATGCTGGAGCAATGTACAAAATTGGGCTATTTTACTACTTCGGATTGAGAGGATTAAAACGTGATCATACCAAGGCATTGACCTGGTTCTTAAGGGCAGTCGAAAAGGGGGAGCCCAGGTCAATGGAACTTCTTGGTGAGATATACGCAAGAGGAGCTGGTGTTGAGAGAAATTATACTAAGGCTCTTGAATGGCTTACACTTGCTTCTAAGCAACAGCTCTATTCAGCTTACAATGGGATGGGTTACTTGTATGTCAAAGGCTATGGAGTGGAGAAAAAAAACTACACAAAAGTAAGTTCATAATTGGATATGATTTTCCAATTTATTCATTAATTATACCTTCACGCATACTGAATCTTGTAGCATAACCTGCCTCGATTATCTACTGGATATGATTTTCCGTCACTTGCCTCGATTATCTACTAGCATAACCTGTACTCTCTTGTCTATAGCTTACAGAAATGTATTGTTATGGATTTTGTTCTGCTTCTTCCATTTCTATTATCTTCTAGGAATCAATAGATAGGGCACAAAGTTTTTCAATTTTTGTGGATGTATTATATCTTAGTCTTCTGACCTCTGTAGAATAAAATCTATATCCGCTGTTTTCACATCAACAATAATCTTTGCATTGGGTTGACTTCTCAGTAATACTCTGTAAAGTTGCTTAAAGCTTGACTTTATTTCAGTTGAAAATTTATCTTTCTCCTTCACTTTGTTCAACTATTTGCCAGTACTCTTTGAAATGTTTTCTTCTGCTTGATATCAGTTGTCTTCTTGTCCAACTTGTTTGCTATACTTTCTCCTTCAAATTGATTCATGTGTCATCATGAGCAGCAAATGAAATGATGGTGAACCTCTGCATTTATTTTATTTAGTGAGAATGATCCCTGAATCTTATTCTTTTATGTTCAGGCAAAAGAGTACTTTGAGAAGGCTGCAGACAATGAAGAGCCTGGCGGGCACTATAACCTAGGAGTAATGTATCTCAAAGGGATTGGAGTAAAAAGAGATGTAAAACTTGCCTGCAAATTTTTTATTGTGGCTGCTAATGCAGGCCAACCTAAGGCATTTTATCAGTTGGCGAAGATGTTCCATACTGGAGTTGGGCTCAAGAAGAATCTTCCTATGGTAAATTCAGTTAGCATTCACTATTCTTTTTTGTTTGCAGACTTAGACCATCTCATCATTCTTGGCTTTTACTGTCTATGGACCTGTATCTCTTGAAGTTTGTTAAATCACTAAAGTGACAGTTGTCAAAAGAATGCGATAGCAGCATTGCAAGCAAAAACTCATGAATCTGAAAGGACCTGTCAGATGCTTCACTTTTAAGTTTAGGCCAGCTGGACTGACCAGAGTCATCAGTTGCATTCTTTTTTATGCTTAATTTCCTTATTTGAATTTGATCCCCTCTCCCAAACGATTATTTCAAGTTATATTCATTTGAGAATTAAACTGAGTTAAGATGCATTCTAGAGCCCTGTTATGAAATGAACTCTTTTAGGGTTGATCATATTTACCTCTTAGTTATTTTGCCCTTCAGAGATCTGTCACCCCCTTGGTGCCTTGCACAAAACTTTGTGGAGAGCTGTTACGAACTGTCCTAGGGAGCGTAAAAACCAAATAATGATTCACGATTTTGTTTTTCTTATTTATAGGCTACTGCATTATATAAGTTAGTTGCAGAACGGGGACCATGGAGTTCCTTGTCTCGGTGGGCACTGGAGTCATATTTAAAAGGGGATGTGGGTAAAGCTTTCCTCTCGTACTCAAGGATGGCAGAGCTGGGCTATGAGGTAGCACAAAGCAATGCTGCATGGATCCTTGATAAATATGGGGAACGTAGCATGTGCATGGGAGAGTCTAATTTCTGCACAGATGCTGAAAGGCATCAGCGGGCACATTCTTTATGGTGGCAAGCTTCTGAGCAGGGTAATGAACATGCTGCTTTGCTTATTGGGGATGCCTATTACTATGGCCGGGTATGTTTCCGAGACACCCATGCTAACATATGTCTTACTCATGGTGGCATAATAGGATTTGTTAGTGATTCTGAGCTGTGCTTCCTGATTGGATAGTGGATGTATTACTAATCAGAGTTACTTCTTTCCTTTCCCAGGGTACCGAGAGGGATTACATACGTGCTGCAGAGGCGTATATGCATGCCAAATCCCAATCCAATGCCCAAGCCATGTTCAACCTCGGTTATATGCATGAACATGGCCATGGACTTCCATTTGATCTTCACCTTGCCAAGCGTTATTATGATCAAGCACTGGAAAATGATCCTGCTGCAAAGTTGCCTGTCGCATTGGCCCTCACAAGCTTGTGGATACGAAAAAATTATGCTGATACTTTCCTGGTAAGCCTGTTGATTAGATCTAACCTTTTTTCCCTGTATAATATCTAGAACATATTACTGCTGCAAAATACCTGCTCTTGCGCGAGGCAAGCTTTTTGCTGGGATTTGGTTGTCCTAGGGGTTAGCACTATTAAGACCTCCTGATGTTTGAGATTTTGTTTTAACCATTGTTTCAACCCCCTAGGAATAGAGTCTCATTAAATCAGTAACTTTCTTTCTGAATTTTCTAATGGTGAGAGAGGAGATGGTAGAGATTCTTCTCTATGGTGCATCTGATCTATGACTTGTTTATTTATCAGGTGCATGTCATTGATTCCTTGCCGGAAGTATATCCCAGACTCGAAGCGTGGGTGGAGGATGTGCTGCTAGAGGAAGGAAACGCAACAATACTGACTCTTGTTGTCTGTCTTCTCACTGTTCTGTACCTTCGGGAGCGGCAACGCAGAAATGCTGTTGCTCCTGCTGGTGATGCTGAGGTGCGTCATCACCAACCAGATGAGCATGTTGGATTTGCACCCAACTAAGGTGGTTGATACTGGAGGCAGCCAGAAACTGATTTACCTAGCTTTCTGGAAGTTCAGTCACATCACCTCATAGACATAAAACTTTGTTGCAATATGATGTACAGGTATCCGGTTCCCCATTAGTTTTGCCAGAAAGAACTTAGAATGTACCATACAGAACTCAAGCGAGAAGAGAAAATCAAGGAGGGAAATTTAGGAATTAGGAACACTTTGCCGCACTCCATATTGTCTTGATTTAGTTGACATAGGGATTTGCAACAGTCATTTAAGTTTTCACTTATACAGAGGACAATTGTCTTGTGTACAATCTCATTTTCCTTTGTGACTACAAGTACTGATTCTGTAAAAGCTTTGCAAATAATTTACAACACGGAGCAGCATTTTTATCCGCAACAATGAGTATAATTTGTCTCTCTTTTTTCCCCTAGTGGTGTGCTTTTATGGTTAATTATTATGTTGGTATTTGGCAAGTTCTCCACTCCCCAGGACTCAAGACAGCTCGTACTGATCAACGTTGGGTCTTTCATAATACGAATCCAAATAACTCTAATCAAAGCTAAGAGATTTTTTGTTTCACCTAGTCATCAACATAGGGATAACCAGCAAAAAAGCTTCTTCCACCGAAGATGTGTTTCAAATTAAGAAGCACGAACCTGAGAAATAACAGAAAGAGAATCAAAAAGGAAAGTAGAAGATTGTTTTTGTTAAGCTGCCGGGAAAGAGACACCTCACTCACAAATTGAAAACGACGACGCTAGAACCAGCTCTTACCCCATCTTGACTCTTGATTATACACATAAACATGGATTCTGGCAGTTGGATCTGACGGTATTCTTTTTTTTTTATTGAAGTCTAGAAAATCAGATGAAAACAGAATGTTCAGTCCATAATTATTCAATTCAGTTCACAATCCAAATGCAAAAAGATCAGAAAAATATAGTCATTCTAGTTCAGATTGAATGATTAAAAAAAATTTGTTGTTTTAATTTTTTTAATTAAAAAAATGGCAACTCAATCTATTTCGGATTAGAACCTATTTGACTGAAATAAAAATGGTCAGGTTTTCAATCCAAAGTCTTCTCTTGTTCAATGCTCAATCTGATCCCGTTTAATCTAAATATTAGACTGATGAACACACACACACACATATATATATATATCAAAATAAATATAACAATTCAAACTAAAAGTCAGTTGCAAATTAAGAAGGAAACAAAACAAATTGAATCGTTAGATATGCATTGATTATTCCATCATAAACCAAAAAGTTAGGATGGGTCTTGCCGCATCAGACATGCATACTCTGCGCTGTGTGGGTGACATTTTGCACAAAATTTTGCCTTGCCAGATGTGTAGGGCCAGAAAATAAGAGAAACAAAACGGTAACAATAAGGCTAAAATGGTTTCCGAGAACATTACCAACTTAATTGTGAACAATTATGAAATTTACAAGTTACTTGTACATTCTTTAGAAAATCGTAGACTTCTAAACTGAATACTTTAGTCATATGACTGAAAATTATATCATGCAAGATGCTTCTCATAATCACATGCAGCGTGTCTAGGTTCACAAAAGAATCAACTTAAGACACCTCCTCCAAATTCTTTAGGACGCTCACATCTGCATTTCAAGCAAACCTTGTTCCTGCTATAGTTCAAGAAGTCGCATCTGCCAAAATTCATAAACATCATTTTGCCTGTGGAACTTCGACATAATCTCAATACCACAAATGTGTGAGTAGTGTATGAATTTGTGGTAGTATGGGCAGTAAATCTGGAAGTGTGTGCACGCATGAAGGTGAAAGAGAGAAAAAAAAACATACGAGGGGCAATCCCACTCTCCAGGATGTGAATTAGGTCGTGGCACTTGGCAGCGGAGGCACTTCTTCTTGCTAGCAAAATTCAGGAAATTACACCTAAAAAGAAAACCAAAAGGACAAAGACAGATCAAATTCGTATAGAGACAACAGTTGAACTATTACAGCACAAATGCACGCTAGATTATTGCATTTGTCTTGCTAAGATAGTGAAACCTCCTGTCAACAAATACTGACTATTTAGCAGCATAAAAACTCACTCAGGGCAGTTCCAATCTCCTCTCTTCATTTCAATATTATCCAAATCAATCCTCTTTGGTCCATCTGCTTTGCACTTCAAACATCGCGTATTTCTAGCAAAATTCAAAAAACTGCACCTGCAATATAAATGAGAGAAAAACTAATCAGTAAAGCAGCAGCAAATGTAGTAAATTCAAACTCGAAAACCTTTTCACCCCAATGAATTCAATTAATAAGAAGTTGACTAAGTAGATGAGCAAATAAGAGAGGATACATGAGTCATCTGTTAGGTATGATACCATCACCCACATGAAAACATAACTAAAGTAACCATGTGACGACACCTGAAAAGTTGCATTTGTGTAGAATCAGATGTCAAAACAATGCATAAGGTGAGAGAAGCAAGTATGTCAATCATTCAGTCATTGTTCCGCACATGGGAGAAAGATAGTACGTGAAGGAGGATGATGACCAACAAGTCAACACTAACAGATGAAAAAAATTTCAAAATAAAAATTTAAACAGCTGTTGGGAATAAATATATATGTAAACTAATAATATTTTCCATCAAATTTAAGGCCTAGAGAAACTGCATAATGTCTTAGAATGTAATTAAATTTAACATATGACCTTATAGGATACATTTAAAGAATTGTAAATATCTATATTTTGTCCTTGGGCAGCACCCCCTTAGTACCTTCTTAATTAATTAATTTCTTCTCTCAAAACAATTAACATATGACCTTTGGTAATACACTTTGATTCTATCTCCCACGTATAACTTACTTACAAACAGTGGGACTGAGACTTGAAAAGTAAGATCAATTGTTATCAAATGCAGTTCTCTCATCACTCCAGTGTATTTAACCCCAAAAAAATTGAATTCCAGCATAGGTAGATCTCTCACAAGAGGGTTTTTAAATCCTTTGAGCAAAGCAATTCACCATATTAATACACTTTGATTCTATCTCCCACATATAACTTACTTACAAAGAGTGGGACTGAGACTTGAAAAGTAAGACCAATTGTTATCAAATGCAGTTCTCTCATCACTCCAGTGTATTTAGCCCCAAAAAAATTGAATTCCAGCGTAGGTAGATCCCTCACAAGAGGGTTTTTAAATCCTTCGAGCAAAGCAATTCACCATATTAAATGTAGAAAAATAAACAAATTACTAAATAAAAGTATAATATAGGTACTACTTAAAAAATGGTTCTAAAGAGACTTTTTTTGCACGCATGGTAGTGAAAAATTGTCTTGTAAAACAGATATATACTGAAGTGTCCCTTTTCACTATCAGTTATATATCCATAGATCCGGCTTAAGAATTTTATTGGTCAATTTATTTTTTCCCACTAACAATAAAAGGAATACTACCATATACCCATTGCACAAGTTAATTTCTCCATAGCAGAAATTGTCATACAGAAAAAGAGAGAAGGTTGACCAATATAGAATAGAGCTGCTAGCTGATTCTGAACTTACTCAGAACAAGTCCAATCACCATTCCTCATTCCAGTAGCATCTGGAGCAACTCTTTTTGGTCTAACTTCCTTGCATTTCAGGCATTGTAAATTTCTGGAGAAGTTCATAAAGTTGCATCTAGAAAAAAGAGGAAAAAAAAAAGAATAAGAGTGAAGAAAACAAACACGTCCGATCAATAAAAGTACACAAGATAGAATAGAGCTCCCAATTGATTCTGAACTTACTTGGAGCAAGTCCAATCTCCGTCCCTCATTTCAATTTCATCTTGACCCTCTCTTTTTGGTCTATCTTCCTTACATTTTAGGCATTGTACATTTCGCAAGAAGTTCATAAAGTTGCATCTAAAAATTAAAAAAAAAGGAAGAACGTTAAACTCATAGGATGAAGAAAAACACACATGAAGAGTTTGCAGAATAAGCTACAGACAAAGAGAATGGTAAGAAAGAAGTAATTGAACAGCATAATTAGAAATTTTCAGTAAGTAACATTTTTCTAAGGGAAAATTTATCCTTTTCATGAAACCATACTGACCATTTTCTCAATCAGACATCAAAAGCAATATCCCACAGGCACAAACCACAAATGCAATGCAGCAAATATTGACAGAATCACACAACCAAGAACAATTTTCCAACTTCCACAAATCTACAAGTCATTCTTTTCCATCTGCATGGTATTATGGAACAAATAATTTGTGCTTTTATAATATTTGGGTGTAGGATAATCAAGAATCCAACGTAACATTAGTTGAAACACTTAACATTAGTTGAAACACTCATGAATTATCGTCCATGAACTGAGTTTTCTAGTCTCATTGCTAAAATCTGAACACAAATTTCCTAGCAACAGAATCCTCAGCTCTTTTGATTCTTCCAACATTAGATAGAGGCACATACTTTCAGTATACTTCCTTATTTTGCCCGTCAAAGGTTGAGCCAAAACCTCAAGGACCATATTACTAAAAGTTTAATGCATGAAGTAAAAGTTTTCTATTGATTCAGATCATTAATGTTTTACTCTTTGCAATAAAACAATCATTTTTTCTTCTTCACTCAAACATTTAAGATAGGAAAAAACTAAGTTCAACAAGATCTTTTTCAGGTAAAAAAGTCCAATAACAACTTACTTGGGACACATCCAATCTCCTCTCTTCTTTACGATATTCTGAGACAGCTCATCATCATTGTAAGACACAGCTCGTTGCTTTTGAGAAGGAGCTTTTGCAGGTGTCCTTGGAAGTGCTGGATCTGGGACTGTCTCACCCAATTCAATCAATTGAGAAAGCAGTTTCCTTACAGATCCATCAACAAGCTCCCTTCCAGGAGGTTTCTCTGCTCCTGAAATAAGAAGTGGATCTATGGCATAAGATAACAATATTCGCACTATGTCCACGGTACGAGGAGATGCTTCAGAACCCTTCAGTATCACATAGGCTCTATCACATGAACCACGTAGATTGCAAGCACTACAGACCTGAATCAAAAAAATTTAATCAGATGGTCCTGGTTTTTGTGGGTTAACACAGATAAATATTGTCATTATTGATTCTTTTTCATATATTGGCTAATAATATGTGCACAGCAAGGGATCAATAATTCACATGATTATTGCTTATTTAATTATTATATAACTTGAAATAAACACAAATAGATTATGATCTAATTTGAAGTTTAAAAAAAGGGAATAATAAATAACTTCTACATTTAATAATCTATTGATGTTCATAATATGCTAATATCAAATAAAGTCAACAGAAAGAGAACTGATGCAACAGTAAATGCTTTATAAAACAAAGTTTTGTGTTTCAAATATAAACTATTATCAGAAATTTTGCTTAAATAGAAAGGAACTCTTTTATTTCAAAAGAAAAAAAAAGGAACTCTTGTCTAGTAACATCCTTTAGATGGAAGGGATGCATACTTTCCAGACATACTACAGATAGATTTTCTTATAGTATAGATTTTTTCACCTATACTCTCGTCATAAACATGAACCACTACATGAATGTTACACAAAAGAATACATACATCTCCTTCATCTAGTTGGACATGTGCTCTTAGTCTTTTGGCTGAGTTAACAGCTTTGCGAGAAAGATTAGGGCATCCATCCTCCACAACTGCTCGAATATCCTCTGTGGACAATGATCTGCACTAAATTAGAAAGAGCACATTCAAATTTAATAACCATTAAATACATCTTAATCTTCCACATATAATGCGTGAAAGTTCAGAACATGGAAAACCCACTTCTGAGAACTTCATCAGAGGTTAGCAGCAATATCAACATTATGAGCTTCTTTTGACACATTTTTTTTAACAAACAATCAACAGAATCATAATTTGTGACCAGAGTTTTACCTTTCAGTGGCGAAGTTTATAAATGTTTCACTCACATGAAGAATAAGAAGAATTAATCATTAGTGTTATGACAGATTGTTGTGTTCATTTCTTAATCATTGCTTCAATTAGAACCAAGTCAACAAAGCAGTAATTCAAACAACTGCTTCTCCAGCATTAGCTTTATATGGAAGCTTGAAGATCAATATTTTACATCATTCACCACTAAAAACTCATGGATGAGTTATCTCCAATCAAAGAGAATGATGCCAAATAGATTAACTCTAGATTTTTTAAATAAATTAGAAATTATGATTCTATTAAATACAAAATGACTATAATATTTAGAAGTCTATTATTCTAGTTCTAAATAACTTTATAATTTTATTCATATTAGTATTTAATTTTCTTATTTGTATTAGTAGTATTATCTCTAATCTTATAGGATTAGCATTTTCTATCTTATTAGGAATATTAGTTCTAATCTTATTCATTTTTGTTTTTCATATTCTAATCCTAGTTGGAAAAAACTTACTTGACGCTTTATTAATAATTTTGTAATCTCCTTGAGAACATCATTCATTTATCCAACACACTTCGAAAGTTTCTCAATTTTTTCGCAATATGATGCAATTAATCCTTTAAGTGTGATGCTTAACACTATAGGCACGATATCTTGGTTTTTATACTCAAATTCATGGGCACGACTGATTTGTTCCACAGAACTTTCACCCTCTTCAACCCATTCCTGAGCCTACCACCATTGCCGCTAAGAACTCATTACAAAAATGACCTACCCCTATTGCCCTTTGGCTCACCACAGTAAAAGGAAGTAACAAATGCAATTCATTTTCCACCTTCTTTATTTTTCCTCTTGTAAGTCCTAGGAGATATGACTAAACCTACCTCCTTTTCCCCGATGAATGCACAAGCTTAACATTAAGATTTCTAAGAAACGCCATGCATCTCTAGTATCCTATTCTCCCAAAATAGGCTTTAAAGCATTAATAGTTCCTTTATTTAACAAAAAAGGCATTAACTTTCCTGGGAAGTTTGGATCATTCTGGCACTTTGATGTAGAATGGGTTAACACTAGGTTTCCTAAATAAATTTTAATTTGTAATTACATTAAACGTAAAGTTATTACACGATTTGTATTAGGATTAGCATTCATAATATTATTAGTATTAGTTTTTTATTCTTATTAGATTAGTATTCATAATTCTACTTGTTTACTATTTCTCATTTCAATTTTATTTAAGAAATGTTGCTTAGAGATTATGATCGATAGCTTGTAATTTTATTTATTGGAAGATTTAGTTATTCAATAATATTTTGCGAGTTTCTTAGTTTCCTGATTGCATGATGCAATCAAATCCTTATATGTGATTCTTAAGACTTTTTAGATATAATTCTAAGAAACACTAAATGTGATGCTTAGGTTTTTTAGCCCTAAATTCCTAGTTCGACAAGTTAAACCTGTTTGTCCTACCTTAACCAGAAGAGGTAGGATGCCTCGCCAAAAAAGTCCATTTTGAAATAAAATGTTTAGTGCAATTCTCAACTTAAAGTAAATGTCACTAATATTTATTGCAAATATTCTAAAGAAGAGAAGATTTATTGCAAACAAAAACGTCAAGCCAAGAAACCACTAGGTTTGTATCTATTTTCCAAATTTTTAGATACTTATACACAAAATCGTGTTCTGTTATTGAAAATAAGAATAAAATTTAGAAAAAAAAAAATGAAAGCAGTTAGTTTCACCATCATCATCCAAAACTTATCTTCATGTTCAAAGTTTAACCTTATTTTAGTTTTCAAGGTTTAAGCATACTTTCATGCAAGAACAGGGCCTTAGTGTTCAAACGTATGAGCAAAATCTTATATATAAAGTTCGACAATTCTCCTCTTAACATTCTCCACCCATCAACGACAGCAGGGATGCATAGCGGAACATCATACATGAACATATCGATTGAGTTCTAAGAAGATCGAATAGAAAAGGAAAAGAAAGAAGAAAAAAAAATTAATAAAAGCAAAACCTTAAGCACTTCTTAGCTCAACTAAGCAGAAAGTGAACATAATACTCGACTTTATCTCCTTTCTTTCCTACAGTTTCTCGTCAGTTAAGCAGCATTTCCGAAAATAAAATGCAATAGCAGACATACTTGAAAACATCGTATCGATCGCGAGCGAAGCTGAGACAAGCATCCTTCAATAAAGAAATGTCCTTATATAATGTTTCCGGACCAGCAGTTCCAGCGTCCGTTGTACCCTCTGACTCGTTTTTTGCGGGAAGTTCAACGAAGTAACCCTTGGCCTTCAAACGGTCCACGAAAGTAATCCACTCGGGCCATGGATGGTAAGTAGAAGAACTTGGTCCTTCTGTATCAATTTCTGCAATTGCATCAGTGGCGGCAGACGAGTAGTAGCGATGGAAACTGAGGGAAACGGAAGGAAAGTGTTTGGTGAAGATAAGGGAAGGGGCCAGAGATGGGGATTTGTGGGAACGGAAGGAACGGAAGTAGGAGGTGCCGAAGAGTAAGAATTTTGAAGCCGACATTTTTCTAGAGGGTTTTTACGTGAAGATAAAAGAGAATCGTTATCCAGCCATTACCGAGAAGCAGAAGCAATGGAGATAGGTCGAGACTGAGGGAGAAGACTGTGAAGGGAATTATTGAGGGTTTTAGCTCTAAATGGATAGTCGGGAACGGGTCGCACCGGCCTAGCCCAACCCAACCCTGACAGTTATACTTATTTCGATATATATTAATATAATTATAAATTTAAAAAAAAAAAAAAACCATTGAGCATTCACAGATCTTCCATCAACGCGACGTGACGCAATACTTCCCCCTTCTTCAAGCTAAAACCCCATTTCTGAAAGATCCCAAACCCACGTAAACCCCTCTGTGGAAGACTCGAAAACTTTTCAACAGTACCCACTCTCACGGAGATCTAAAGCACCTCTCTCTCTCTTGCTTTTACGTTCTTTCATCACCATAACCATGAGAAGAGCATCAACTCTCGCATCATCTATCATTCCGAGAACCATCGCCGCCGCGCATGACGGTGGCGCCACTACTGTCCACAACCGCATACTCCAGGCTGCGTTTTTCTGCAGCAGCAGTAGGATCAGTTTCTGCAACCGCCGGCGCTGGTTATCTCCGTTTCTTAATTCCTTTTCAAATGGCTCGGCTAGAGCCGTCTCTCTCGGCGTAACTGGTGCTCTAGCTTCGGTTGTCGTGGCAGCTTCCTTCTCCCAAGCCGTTTACGCTAAGGAGCCGCCGGCGGGGGAACTTGTTCCGAAAGATGTTGTTCTTTATCAGTATGAAGCTTGTCCTTTTTGCAATAAAGTTAAAGGTGTTCCTTTCGTTACAACTGCTCTTTTGCTCGTGCATCTTGTTTTGATCTACTGGTTGATACAGTGCCGTGGATTCATTATTTAATACGTGATTGCTTGCATACAATAATGTCTTGCTGTTCAATTATCTAGGAAATTACGTGTTTTGTTGTTCAATTATCTAATGCTTTTTGTTAATGGATCATGGCTGAGCAGTGGTTTGATTATATTATGAGCGGCATTTGGAAGCTTTCTTTGATTCAGTAGGATTATGTTTGATTCATTTATGATTACTTATCTTATCTAGAATTTTAGTTGGGGATCCGCAGAAGGAAGCATCAACATACGAGGTCTTTTCCCTAATTGCAAAAGGTGAAATCTGAAATATCGATTGGTTGAATACTAGGTTTTGTTCGGATAAAGGAAATATTTTTGTGGAAGTTATTTAGAAATTCATACTTACCTTAACCTAAGAGGATGAAACATCTACTCCAAATTGATGAAAATTCAGATCCGTATGAATATCAAGTAGAACTGAAACAATTTAAAAATAGTTCAGAAGATAGCCCTATTCCCTGCTCCATGGCTGAAAGTCAAAAAAGATAATAATATAAAAGTTCTGAGTATGGTGTGGCTGCCTCTGCAGAAGCCAAAGACTCAATTAATTGTTCTGCTCGGTTTTGAGATCCAATTGAAATGTGGAAGTTTTTACCGTTGAGTACAATCTGTGGAGAATATTTCAGTGTTTATTTTAATTTCTCGCAGCCTCTTGTATGAGTTGAACACCTTACAACAGCCACCCCCCCTTTTGTACATAATGTCTGTCTCTGAGATAACATGGACAGGAACAAGTAGCAGAAGCAGTACTTGTTGTTTATTGAGTTAGTGAACTTCAATTTTTGAGAAATAAGTGTCTGACCTTGTTTTACCTTTTGAGGACTGAAAATAAATTGGAGTAAACATTTTTTGTCTCTTATATCTTGCTTTTTTTTTTAATATATCTTATATCTTGCTTCTTATTTTATGGAAGTATGATTGTTGTTTAGTGTCTTCCTCTCAAAAAATGGATTCGTGTTGGGGCTCTTTCAATGCTGTGTACTTCTTGACTCTTTGTTTTGTTGTATGTTTTATGAGCTTATAGTTCAGTTATACTGTTCCATTTCAGCATTCTTGGACTACTATGATATACCATATAAAGTTGTGGAAGTCAACCCACTCAGCAAGAAAGAGATAAAGTGGTCTGATTATAAGAAGGTGCCAATACTGATGGTAGATGGGGAACAGCTTGTTGACTCATCAGGTTATCATTATCAAAATTATTTGTAGATTGTTTTATATGTCTAGCTTGATTGTGCACATGAGTTGCAAAATTTTTAATCGCTGGGTATTATCAAGTTCTTGAACATTTCTATTAAGCCTGTGTTTGATATGTATCCAGATATAATTGATAAGTTGAACCAGAAGATCTTTCCTGAGAAGTCAGTTGACTCTGCCTTAGATGAAAATGAAGAGAGAAAGTGGCGCAGGTATTGTGTATGTTCAATTTTCTCAACTTTGCTTTGATAAATTTATTTAACACTTTACCTCGGCATACTTTAAAAATTTCATGACTTAGTTAAGAATTTCTACATGTGCTTCTTTAAAGAAAAGGAATATTTTCTCTGTTGTGAAAGCACTTTATTTCTAGTTAATACTTGGGTGAAACTTATTGTTTTGCTGGAAATTGCATAAGATTTTGATTGAGGCTGTTTAGTTGTTCAGATCTAAGTCAGATCTTCTGCTTGGATAATGGATCTCTATTATTTGACCTATGGCTACTTTAGGCCTTATGCCTTTAGGTGGTTTATGGGTTATTTGGAAGGAGAGAAACAGGAAGGCTTTTGAGGGTATAGATTCTTTTTTGGATAGAATCTTGGATACTTGGTTTCAGACCTAAGGTTGTTTAATTAAGTGTTATCTTTTTTTTCTTTTGAGGATTTTGGGCATTTGATTGACATATTGACAGATTGTAAAGCTGTGTATATGGGTTGCATCCTTGGTGCATTTTATATTTATATACCATATATTTTACTTTCAAGAAAACAAGGTTGAAGAGGAAGGAGTTATTTGCATAGGTCTTGGGACTAAATTTTTTGAATTTTTGGAATATAAAATATATAGAATTCATGCATATATATAACGGGTTTGTGCCTGTGGGTTGTAACTGATATAAATTTGAATTTGACTCCTATTTGTTCTTAATTGATGTTTTCTGGCTCTTGGTCAGTTTCATTCTCTTATGAGCTGTGACTCAGACTGCTACTAACCATTTGATGAATTAATCATTTGAATGGATTAGGTGGGTTGACAATCACCTGGTGCATGTTTTATCGCCAAACATTTATCGCAATACTTCTGAGGCTCTTGAGTCCTTCGACTATATAACCAGCAATGGTAAGTTCCTGTACGAATTTGTTTATCACCATTCCTTGTTGGGCATATAGTGTTTATACTAAAAACTAGATGACAAACCTGAAATATGCTTTTTTATTCTTCTTCCTTTGCAATGTTTGATTAGGTCTTGGATGTTTGATTTGTGTTTCTATTTTTAATAGGTCGGAACTGTTATTTGATCTCCATCTCCTTCACACTTTTGGAAGAGAAGTATTTAAACAGCTACTTGTGAACTTTCTTAAACTTATCTATTAAAAAAAAAAAAGAAAGACAAGAAGGAGAAGAATAGAAAAGGCTTCCTTTAACCATGAAAAGTACCTTCAACCTTAAATTATACAAAGTGAGTGGCTTCAGTAAAAATTAGATTTTTATAAAGTGAAATGGATCTCTAGAATGTCTAATTGGCCAGTCATAATCTGGCTAAATGGGCACTATATAACAAATTTTTTTCGCCCAACACCTCAACTGTAATCTTTCATCATATAGTCTATATTGAATGAGTGTTAGGGTTTATCCAAAAAACAAGTTAAGTATATTTAAAAAAAAAAAGTTGAGTAGTTACATAGTTGCAGACTGAGGTTGGGTTTGGTAGTTGAATAGGGTAGGGTAGGATATAAATTTGTTACTAATTTTAAAAAATTGAAAAGATGGAAGTAGTCCTGATATTGGTAGCAGAAGACCATGGATCATTAGTAAACGACCATTACTAAATTGAAAAGGTTTTCTCTTTTCCAACTTTAAAGAGGAAAGATAAAAAATCCCTTTTAAAGCCAAGGTATATCCATAACATCTACTAGAAAAGGAAAAAATTAGATATCGCAGGTGTACGCAAGTGTAATTCATTCGAATTTTACCTTCCTTCCTAACCTGAATGACTGGAAGATTGATGAGTGGGTGGATCTCCATTTTACATCGGAATCCACTCAAATTCATCTTGATCGGCCTGACAGACTGGTTAAGCATATCTTGTTACAGTGTCATTTACTTGCCAATATTGTGCTGGAAAAGTTTCCTGGAAGCACATGTGAAAAATATGGGCGCTCCCAGGATTGCTCTTTCTCTTGGGAAGCAAGTTGGACCGAATTTTTTTTTAAAGTAAAAAGTATAACGGGTATTAACCATTGAACAATCTATAAAGAAGAGCAGAATCATGATGAATCTGTGTTTGGTGCTTCAATGTGTGTGAAACCCAAATGATCTCCTTCTTTGGTGCCCATAAGTAAACAAGCTTCGGGGATCAGCTCTTGCTCTCCTTAATCTGTTTTAGGCGGTCAGTATCTCAGACCAAGATGAACTTTTGGGCTTGGAATGATATCTTTACCTCCCAGCATCAAAAGAAAATTATGCCCTCATTCCCTTCCCTATCTTTTGTGTCAATTGGTAAGAAACCAAGAGCTTTTGGCGATTCTTCTTCCCCTTTTGCATTCATCGGGGACCACTGGTCCAGAAACTTTTGTCTTTTGTATAGGGATCGCACTTTGGCTGATGATGTGCATATTGTTGATCTATTTTATCTCTTCTCTTCATAATTTTCTATATTTTCTGCAAGACTGCACCTCTTTGTTGCCCTTTATCTATTTTTGTCTTTTCCTGTCAAAATAAAAAAAAAATCTCAGGGGCTCTGGTGAATTTGGATTTCCCTGACTTATTTTACGGCATAATGTGTGTGTATGTGTGTTTTTTTTATGGCTTGAGGCCCAGAAGTCCAGGTCCATTGTTTTGTTGTAACAATTCGCCATCTGGCTGTGTAATTAATCTCAGCATCAAATATCTGCTGACAATCTTGATATATCTGGTATCCTACTGTAATTGCAGGTAACTTTGGCTTCACCGAGAAAATAACAGTAAAATATGCTGGAGCAGCTGCTATGTATTTCGTATCGAAGAAACTGAAGAAGAAATATAACATTACTGATGAGCGTGCTGCCCTGTATGAAGCTGCAGAGACATGGGTTGATGCTCTAAATGGTCGGGAGTTTCTTGGTAAGGAACCCTTAAGTCATGGCATGCACTGAACACAATGGCAACAGTATAGCTTGTTTTTGGCATCAATTTAGTATTGGAGGATGAAGCTAAAAGCCTACACCTCTGCCTTCTTTAAATAAATTTGAACATGTTATGAAGCATATTGATCTATGCATCTTTTGTATTTTGTTGCTTTCTGACTAATTATTCATCTACTTTGTCCGATTGTTCCATTAGGGGGATGCAAGCCTAATTTAGCGGACCTTGCAGTCTTCGGAGTGTTGAGACCCATCCGCTACTTGAGGTCTGGTAGAGATATGGTGGAGCACACTCGAATCGGAGAATGGTACTCGAGAATGGAGAGTGCAGTGGGAGAGTCATCAAAGGATCAAGGCCTAGTGTGACATTCCAAACTATTCTATCTATATTGTTTTGAGTTTGCACGATCCTTTCCCGACATTAATTTATCTTCAGCAGGAGTAAAACACAGAAAATTTTGACAATAAGCAATTTTGTGCAGAAATCTGCCAACCTCAATTTTTATTATTTATTAAACCAATATTGTCACTGTGGTTAGAGTTGCTAAGCATAGTCTGCATAGTTAAAGCAGCATATATATGCTCGCTTTTCAGTTGTAATTCATATACGCTATAGTTATGTGAGAGATCATATGTCCTTGTACTTTGTGATTGCCTTACATTTCTGTAGTCATGGGAAAAAAGAAGCATAAAGGTGAAGAGGATATATATATATATATATATATATATATATATAAATATATATATTTGTTCTTTACACAGTTTTATTGGAATTTACATTCCAAATCTTAAAAAAATGATAATATTATTTACTTAATTAAGAAACAATCAAAAGTAATGCACTTTCCAACTTTCTATTGATACATTGTTGGGGGTTACAAAAAATTATTATTTGTCACCACCATTGTAATCACTTCTATTCTAATTTGTTAGATATCGAAAATTATACTTTTATGCTTTTTTTTTTTTTCTTTTGAAAGTAATATCTGTTCTAACAAAAAATGCAAAACTTTCTTCGTATAGCATAGATTCAAATTTCATTTTTAATCAATTCATGCATTTCTCAAAATTAAAATCATTCAATATCTAAATTAGTGCTTTGATTTTATAATGACTCAATTAATTAACTATTAATGTAACGATCCCGAAAATTCAAAAGAAAATATATAATAACTTAAGTGCGGAAGCGAAATAAAATGTTAAAATTTACATTTCTTACAAATAAAAGGTTAAAGTTTACATTCCTTACACAATAACTTAAAAGTACTGAACATCATTACAGAATTAATTCTTTGAAAGAAATACGAGAAATAAGTAATCAAATAAAAAATAGAAAATATCTAGCATTTACACGCAATCTTCTTGCGAATCGGGTTCTGTAACCTGATCCTCTTGATCTCAAATGATTTAATAAAAGATGAGCTACACTAACCCAGTAAGGATATCACACTATATCACCGGCACAGAAGTAAAGATTGGTATAAAATTGAAAACCACTAATAGAGTATTAAATTTAGCAAATTCATTTCTCAATCATAAAATCATTTCTTGTTCATTTACTATCGTGGAATTTATGAAAACTACTTGTAAGAACAATAATATTATACAAATCAATATCTCATGCATAATCAGCCATCATAGTATATGGTATAAATCTATATCTATTATTAATAAACCAAACAATAACTACCAACATTTTCATTTTTCAATCATAAAATCATTTCTCGTTCACTTACCATCGTGGAATTTATGAAAACTACCTGTAAGAACAATAATATTATACAGACAATATCTCATGCATAATTAACCATCATAGTACATGTTATAAATCTATATCTGTTATTGATAAACCAAATAACAACTATCATCCTTTTCACCAGCCTGCTGGTATCCAGGGGGGTTCATAGGGATGTCCCCACTACACGTGAACCCTTTCATTTATCATTCTAAATCATGTGCCATCCTCATACCCCGTCCGGTATGATAGCCAAATTATCAAGTCTCCATACCCGTCCGGTATGAGACAACATTCACGGTAGGGTTACCTA